CTCTAGGCTTTACTTTTGGGAACATATACAAAACTTGACAAGATGTCCCTCTGGCATATATAGGTGTACTAAAGTTCTTTGCTCGGTACTTTGTCGAATTTACGAATATTGCTTTTTCCTTAACGTTCATCTTAAGAATGTTTGCCTAATCTTATCTCATACTCTATAACTTGTATCCATCTATTGTTGATTCACCTCAATGTGGATCTACAATCCACTGCAGATAACTTGAAACCTCTTACGTAATACATTGTCGCTAAGGCTTATGTCTCGTCGGGGGATATCTGAAGTGATTAGACTGATCTACCCGGGGGCGATACTATACTTCCATAACTTTATTTCATAGTATCCAACTGTGATTCATCATGTGGGGGTATTTTGTCCCTTACAATTCATGAAATCCTCTGACTCTTGTAAAGCGATGAGCTTATTACATCATATACTCAATGAAATTTTTGATGTCCTTTCTCGCCTATACTTATCCATGGTTACTTACCTCCATGCCCTTATTCTTGTAGGGTTGCTTCTGCTAGATATTTTGACCATCTTCCCATTGGCACTCTCTTTTATTTCCGCAACACTTATATGGCACTTTTAATTACCCTGGTTCCTATCTGAATATTTCTCAAGTATTACAATATCATAACTGCCGAGCTGAATTCACTATACTGGGTTTTACTATATTTATCTTGCATGACCTGCTGATTTGTCTGTATCCTCCTGGCTAGCCATAACTAGGCTCTTCCTGGAACAACTACTAACTACTCGTTGTCCTACTCTCATATCAATACTCTACATAATGCATCTTGGGTTATTTCCTTTGTCTTAACTCATATCTTGTGTTGGCTCTTTATTTATCAATAACATCTTGGGTAGGAACCCTTACTTCCTTTCTTTGGCATCGTGTCTGCATAATATTCTGGAATCGTGGCATATGTGTAGGATTTGAATAAGTGCAATCTCATCCCTTTCTCATTTTTTTCGCAGTATTCCGTTACCATTCCTTAATTACTAGAACCACTTAATTCTGACTTAATGTCACATCACTCCATATCCCCCCCTTTTAGGGGAGCACTAAGATTTAGTGCTACTATGATCTACGTATATATGTTTTACTTCTTCATCTTTGGCGTCTTTTCACATCGTCAATGACCCTTACTCGCCTCGCGGTAATTCTTTTTTACCAAGGATAACAAAATTCCTTACTCACGAGGGTGATACTTAGTTTAACTGGCACATATAGTCCCTAAGCTTAAATTTGCTTACATGGCTTGCTTTAGGGAAGCGTCTTCCTGAATGACCATCCTCTGAATTTCTCATAAAATTTCTTCTATTATCGCCGGAACAAAATTTGAAATTCCCATGATGTCGACCATTATCAAATCATTCAGTCCCTAATTCATGTTTAGTTTATCTTGTTCCCCAGCCCATACTGATTTCTATTACTCTGGGGTTTAACTCTCCCTTCTGATAGTTGCGTTGGAGTCACGAACATATTTTTTGAAATGAGGATATGACTTTATGGCCTATACTCTTTTGTTTTCTTGAGGCCTATCACCTCTCGTCTCTTCCTTCACCTGACTATGGACCCGGTAATACCGTCATCTTTTTTATCTACCGTTGTCATCCATGTATTGCATCTTACTGATAATTCTTCTTTATCTCTCTTCTCATTACTCTGCTAATATTTCTGAATATTCCTTTCCTCTGAAAACTTCAGCAAAGCATTCTTTTGCTTTTTGCTTCCCTTGCTTCATCCATCGGCTCTTCGGGTTGCTCAACTTCCTTGCTCTACTAGGGACAATTGTCACACTAAGGTAATATTTATCCCTTCCAGGCTTTCAGTGCCTATCTTCTGAATTTTTTTTTATCATGCTATTGTTCACATCTAGTTGTAATATTCTAGAGTGCACCATCTGGGTGTCTCACAAGAAGATCAATTAGCACATTTGTAATACCCTTCGGAAATGTCAATTAACACAAACAATCCATTCACCATTTTGGGCTACTCTAACCTTAGCCGGATCGTAATATTCCGTCCTTTTCTTAAACTATACCTGTTAGGCCCCATAGGGCATAACTGAGATGGGTACGACTAATTGTAGATATCTCTGTTACTGTTGAATATAACTCAAAAAGCTTATATTCCTCTGCTTGAATTATAAACACCGTTAACCTTCATCAACTGGGCGCCTCGTACTCTTCTTCATCTTACTTCTTTTGCTTGTTGAAATTTGTATTTATCTTCTAAATCTCTCATTGTATTTCACCATTAAGGTGGATAGGTATTCTTGCCTCAAAACTCCTTATCAAGAGGCTTACACCTTTCAATACGTACATGATCTACTGAAGACCTCACATTTACTTATCATAAGCATGATGCAAAGTCGAGTTCCTCTGACTCAACTCTTCCATAGCCATGTATTTTACCAACCATCTTTCTAGATGTAGGTATCGTCTTATTACGAATAAAATAGAAGTTAGGAATTTGAATTCTTACAACTGAGCTCTATCACACGATCTAGAGTAAGAAGAAAGAGTGATAGTCCTAAATGCCCAGTAGCCTCATGCTTATAAGTGTGGTGCACAACACATGCATAAATAAGACTCTACTAGACACGGCTTGTAGACTCCCTAGGACAGAACTGCTCTGATACCACTTTTGTCACGACCCAAACCGATGGGCCGTGACAGGCACCCGATACCTTACTCAACTGAGTACCAACATAACGTATCTTTCATATTATTCTATCATAAGTAAAAGAACCGGAGTAAAGCATGAGGAAATAAAAATATATACATATGAAGTACGGGCCTATAAGGCCGCCATAATTTTGTATATACTCCAAAACATAGGCCGACAAGGTCATACAAGTATCCGTATACATAACATCTGTCTACAAGCCTCTAAGAATATATAATATCATAAAGGTTGAGACAGGGTTCTGCCATAACAATCAATAGATGTACTAGTCATAGTGACCAAAGAAGCAACTCTGAAGCAAACGGAGCGCACCAACACCTTCCGCTGAGCTGATATCCTACTTGGAGGACTCTCGACCTATCTATCAGGACTTGCGCGCATGAAACGCAGTGTCCCCAGGCAAAAAGGATGCCAGTACAAATAATGTACCGAGTATGTAAGGAATAAAAATCAGTAACTAGTAGACATGAGAGAAACATAGAGTAAAAAACTCAACATGTATATCTGAATAACTCTATGAATCATTTAATATTATAATGTCATGAATATGCGCATAAATGTCATACCATGCATGGGTATATGCGTTCATAATATCATCAAGCCTCTGAGGGCATCCAATCATATCATCCTGGCCACTAGGACAAATCATCAACGTATACCAGCTGATCAGATGGTGGTGCGTATATAACGTCGTAACCTTTTCCCNAAGACCCATGAACAGATGATAGAATAATATGAAACATGAGGAATCAAGAACATAAGCATCTCTAGTATTTCTATGAATAGAGTTATTTATGGAAATTGTGCATTTGCTCTTTTCGTTTGTATCGTATGGATCATACCAAAAGAAAGAAGGGATAGCTTTAATGTACCTGATCGGATTCTCTTGACAATCCCTCTAGCACACGTCACTTGTGACAACATATAATGGCCGATCGAAGTAGGAAAAAATTCATATGATATTCTTGAGAAAGACTGCACCTCTTTGTCGTGACTACTAGTAAGATAACAATCACCTTATTAATTGTTGCATGTATGAGATGTACGTTTGAACCTTATAAAATAGTGAAATATACTCATAAATGATTATGCCATATCTAACTTCGTACTTTATTCTCACTGTTTCGATCGCATGAAAGCAGTCATACTCTCGACATGAATATATTTTGTCATGTGGATTGACTTTTTCATCCTTGTCTCGTTCCAGGACACTAAACTCATTAAGTTGTCCGTTTAAGTCAGAGACCAGCAAGGAATTTTCTTTCTCCATTTTTTTTCACGGCAACCTCCTCCATAAGATTTTTTTTCTTTGAATTGTGTCTAATAATCTCTTTATCTTAGAGATTTGTGGGCCCCCACTTTGTGGATGAGTTGGCCAACTATTATTCTAAATGTGCCACCTATATGTGGACTTTAAGAGTCACATTTTTCTGACTTTGCTGGCTTTGATGTACAGCCACGTTGGTGGATGCAATTCTTATCCAATATATCCCCAATTAATTAGGTAATGTCCCGTTACGCGATAATTAACTAATTATCCGCATAATTAAGAATTATCTCAACTTACTTAAAATACTACTCGCTTTTAATATACCTTGTACACCTTACTATCATGGTCATGTAGTACTTTGTATGGCATTAGTCCATAAATATGGAGTATTAACGCTCGGCCCGTATTTTATCCCAATATGCCAGACTTGGACGAAAAATTCATCTTATTTGACTTGCTTCCCCTCTTACCTTCACGAATTTATTCATCATTTGTTTAAAATAGCATAATCCTTATAATCTCCAAATAATCTTTTCCTTGGACAATGTCAATTACCTTATGATAATTTCAACGTACAATACTACCGGGTGCAACATCGTCGTGATTTAATACTGTGGGAAGTAATATCGATGTAACATTACGGGGCATAAAGCCGCCGACCTTAATGATGCATCCACCCTCTTTGAAGAGGCTCAACGTCTCTTCTCCCAGGTAAGCACTAATCTTTGTAGTTGCAAAAATTCTTTTTTTTCTTCTCCTTCTGTGTTAACTGACATCTTTTTGTTTTTTGCTTAGGCCATTACCATGTTCAGGGCTGAGCTAAGCCAATGTGAGGCCGAGCTCAAGAAAGCTTCGAGCGCGGAGAAGGCCTTGAAGCTCCTCTGCAGCTGAAAAGAGGAGGAGCTCAAGGATCTTCGTGCTGATTTGGCCAAAGCTCAAAAAATTGAGGCTGAGCTAGATGAGCAAGTAACTGTGATTTTAACAGAGTATGGTCTTCTTGGCCTTACTTCAGAGGCTAACACTTCGATGTCTCAGCTGCAGCAAAAGTTAGAGATGATTGGGCAGCTCCGGGGTGAGGTCGATCAAGTTAAGGACAACTGCCACCGATGAAAAAAGAGCATGGATCGGCTCGCTGCCGATAAAGAAGCTGTTACAACCCAACTGGCATTGGCTAAAACTCAACTTCGAGGCATTAAAGTGAAGAGTCTGGCTTAGGCCAAGAAAATTGAGGAGTTAGAGGCAGATCTTGCCAAAGCCGGGGCTGAAGCTGCACAGGCCAAGGCTGAAGTTGAGAAGATGAAGGTTACGGCTGATAAGACTATCGCTGTATACTTAAGGGATGCCGAAGTTGTTCAAGCGGAGCTGAGGGAGGCCTCCGACCGAGAAAAATATAGTAATGATTTGTCCAAGTGCCAATCTCAAAGGGAGACTCTCGAGGAAATCCATGCCCGTGGTTATGACCTTACTGAAGAGATAGCTCAAGCAAGGGCAATGGAAACCGACGCCAGGTTCCTCGTTTCTTCCGATGATGAGGATTCTGCCAATGGCTTTGAGGATGGGTAAAATAAGGAGGGATTCCCCAAGGAAGAGGTTCCCGAGGATGCGACTCCTGAGAACGCAACTCCTGAGGATACGACCTCCAAAGATGTGACTCTCGAGGGTGTGGCCTCATAATCAGATTAGGTTTTTTTGATTTGTTTTGTGTTTTTGTGCAAGGGCCCCTCGTGGGCTTTGTAAATATATTTTTTTAACTCCTCGTATAAATATAAGAAACCTATTTGTTTCATCTTCGATTTGTGTTGGATTCCGTTTCATCTTCATTTGTGAAAAATTTGATTGTATAACTCTAATGATCAGTCTAAATATTGGTTTAGACTCAGAACATAATAAACCCTTAGGTTTTTTATTGATCAATATAATACCTCTTAAGGGTATTGTTAATACTCGAGCTAAGCTTAAATTGATTTGATGTAAGCTCGGGATGTCGGGACTCTTAAGTCCGAGTTGAATGAGAGTAAGGTCTCGTACCCTGTATATTTTGGCCCTTATGCTCTTTTAAGCTAGCCCTTAGGCTCTTATACATCGGCTCTTAGGCTCTTTGGCTCTTTAAGTTGGCCCTTAGGCTCTTATATATCGTCCCTTATGCTAGTTAAGTTAGGCCAATTCGGCCTCTAAAGCGGCTGTAATTTTTCCCTCTTTTCGGCTAAAAGACATAGTGAAAATTTATCTATGCCTTAGCTTGTGTTTATTTATTGTACCCATTGGGTTTTTCGAAGGTCCAACAGATCGGAACCTTATTAGTAATTTGTTTGTGTAAACATAATCAAATACCTCTTGAGGTTTTTTCGAATATTGAAGCCTCTAAATTATTCGAGGGCTGATTTTATCGAAGCCCTTTATCTTTGCTTTTGCCGAGGGTAGCTTGATTTAACTGGTTTTTTCAAAGTGTTTGAAGGCATGTAATTTATGGCGGAAGTCGGACGTCTCCGAGCCGTATTATTTTGGCCACAACCTTTATATAATCGTAGTCTTTAATATGACTGTAGCCTTCAGGTATGTCTCTTGGACATGTTTCCCGATAACCCTTCGAACTTGTTCGAACTGTTAGTCCCCGAGTATGATGGCCTTTGCCTTTATATCGAAGGACTGCCTCTTTGAGGTCTTATGAGTTCGAGTTTTTGATGACTCAGATGTGTTGACTGTCGATGATAGTCCCCAAGTATTCGGGGTATATTTGCATTCCGGCCTTTGGGCCGTTTCTCGTAGAATTATAAGTGTAGAGCTCGTATGATAGTAGACTTTTTTAAGACACAAAGTGTTTTGGTATAGAACGAATGCTTCTTTGAACAATTGATACACGCGTACATGTTTTGCCGTCGGGGCTCGACTATTCTGTATGGACACGGTTCATCTGATCGTTTGGCCCATTACAAAGTTCTCCTATCAAGGCCCTCTTGGGGTGAAGTATTTTCCTCAAAAATATAACCTCCGAGGGTGATGCCCCCCAGTATTCGAGGTTGATTGAAAATAAGCCTTGGATACTGTTAAGTTTTCCTTAGGTAGCACATAGTTGTTGCCTCGTTAAAAACCTTGCCGGTAAAACCTATTTGGGACAAAACCCGATCTAAGGTAAAGAGAGTGCAACGCATGCTTTAAAACCTAAGACCTTTTCGTAAAAAGGTGCCTTCGATAGCTTCGATCGAACACCTACAGTGGGTTAGTTTCAAATTAAAATGGACAACAAAAATTCATACGTTAGCAATTGTATCATTTGAGTAGTGATACGTTCCAATTGTTTGGTAGTTGTTCACCTTCCATTGTGCTAATTTTGTAAGATCCTTTACCAACAACTCCGAGGACTCGGTACGGTCCTTCCCAATTCGGGCATAATTTCCCTTCGTTTGGGTCTCGAGTGTTGATGGTGACTTTCCATAGAACTAAGTCCCCGACTTCGAAGTGTCGAAGATTGGTCCTTCTATTATAGTATCTCTCGATTCTTTGTTTCTGTGCGGCCATCCGAACAAGTGTTGCCTCTCATTTTTCATCTAATAGCTCGAGGCTAGTATTCATAGCCTCGTGATTTGACTCCTCTGATGCATATCTAAACATGGAGCTGGGTTCACCGACCTCGACAGGGATAAGGGCATTGGAGCCATAAACTAAAGAAAATGGAGTAGCCCCTGTTCTAGACTTCGATGTTGTTTGATATGCCCATAGGACCTCGGGTAGAACTTCTCTCCATTTTCCCTTTGCATCGTTCAACCTTTTCTTTAGGTTTTGAATGATGGTTTTGTTTGTTGATTCGGCATGTCCATTTCCAGTTGGGTGGTATGGTGTTGATAAGATCCTCTTTATCTTGTGTGCTTCGAGGAACTCCGTCACCTTGCTGCCGATGGATTATTTTCCATTGTCAAATACAAACTCGGCAGGTATCCTAAATCAACATATGATGTGATCCCAGATAATGTCAATAACTTCCTTTTCTCTAACCTTCTCGAAGGCCTGTGCTTCCACCCATTTAGAAAAGTAATCAGTCACAATCAAAATAAATTTAGCTTTACCTGGGGCCATTGGTAGGGGGATGACTAAGTCCATTCCCCATTTCATGAAAGGCCACGGGGATAGGACCGAGTGGAGCTGTTCTCTGGGCTGATGGATCATCGGTGCAAACCGTTGGCATTTATCACATTTTTTGGCAAACTCCTTAGTATCTTTTTCCATGTTGTCCCAGTAATACCCTGCTCTGATAATTTTGTGAATCAAAGACTCGGTGTCGGACTGGTTCCTACAAGTACCTTCGTGGAATTCTCGTAGAACATAATCGGTATCCCCCGGCCCTAAACACACCGCCAACAACCCATTAAACGTTCTTCTGTATAATGTCCCATCCCCATCTAGTGTGAACCTAGCATCCTTGGTTCGTAGAGCCCTCGATTTTTTGTGATTCGATGTGAGCTTTCCATTTTTTAAATAATCGATATACTTATTTCTCCAATCCCAAGTCAAGCTCGTGGAATTTATTTCGGCATGTCCTTTCTCGACCATGGATCTCGATAATTGAACGACAGTCCCCAGGACAAATCCGTCTTCTTTGACCAGCGATCCCAGATTTGCAAGCGCATCGGCCTCACTATTTTTCTCTCGAGGCATATGATCTAGGGTCCATTATTTGAAGCGGTGCAATGTCACCTGTAGTTTGTCTAAGTACCTCTGCATTCTATCTTCTCGAACCTCGAAACTCTTATTTACTTGGTTTACCACCAATAGGGAGTTACATTTAGCCTCGATGATCTCTGCCCCAAGCTCTTAGCTAGCTCGAGACCTGCAATCATGGGCTCGTACTCGGCCTTATTGTTAGTCAATCTTGAAGTTTTGATAAATTGTCTAATAGTACTACCTGTTGGTGGCTTCAAAACAATGCTGAGTCCGAACCCTTTCACATTCGAGGCACCGTCCGTGAAAAGGGTCCATACCCTCGATGATGTACCTGATCCCAGTAGAAGTTCTTTTTTTGCTTTGGGTACGAGGGTCGGCATAAAATCGGCCACGAAGTCAGCCAAGATTTGGGACTTGATAGCCGTTCGGGGTTGATATTCGATATCATACCCGCTTAGTTTGACTGTCAACTTGGCTAGTCGACCTGACAATTCGAGCTTATGCAAGATATTTCGGAGAGGATAAGTGGTTAATGCACATATGGGATGATATTGAAAATATGGTTTTAACTTTCTAGATGCGCTAATCAATGCAAGTGCTAATATTTCTAAGTGACGGTACCTAGTTTCAGCATCTCCCAGAGTTCGACTTACATAATAAATAGGGAATTGCACACCTTGCTCTTCTCGGACTAGTACTCCACTTACCGCTATCTCGGACACCGCCAAATATAGGTAAAGCTTTTCATCTACCTTCGGGGTGTAAAGCAAAGGTGGGCTCGATAGGTATCGCTTCAATTCCTCTAAGGCTTGCTGGCATTCCGGGGTCCATGCCAAGTCCTCTTTCTTTTTGAGCAAGGAAAAGAACCTATGACTTCGATCCGAAGACCTCGAAATAAATTGACCCAAGGCGGATGTTCGTCCTATTAGCCTTTGTACGGCTTTCACACTATCCACGATGGTGATATCTTCGATGGCCTTGATCTTATCGGGGTTGATCTCGATTCCTCGATTAGATACCATGAAGCCGAGAAACTTGCCCGAGCCAACTCCGAAAACACATTTTTCCGGGTTAAGCTTCATGTTGTACTTCCTCAAGATTTTGAATGTTTCCTGCAAATGAGTCAAATGGTCTTCTACGCATAGGTACTTAACTAACATATCGTCAATGTAAACTTCCATCATTTTACCTATTTGTTCTTTGAACATTTTGTTAACTAGGTGTTGATATGTAGCTCCAACATTTTTTAACCCGAAGGGCATTACGTTGTAATAATAAGTTCCAAACTTAGTGATAAACAAGGTCTTTTCCTGATCCTCCGGGTTCATCTGAATTTGATTGTAACCGGAGTAGGTGTCGACAAAAGTTAGAATCTCGTGGCCAGCCGTGGCGTCGATTATATGATCGATGTTAAGCAGTGGAAAAGAATATTTAGAGCATGCTTTGTTTAAATCCTTGTAATCTACACACATTCTAAGTTTGTTTCCTTTTTTAGGAACTACAACTACGTTGGCTAACCATTCGGGATACTTTACCTCCCGAATAGATCCTATTTTAAGAAGTTTGGTTACCTCGTCATTTATGAATGCATGTTTCACCTCAGACCGGGGCCTTCTCTTTTTCTTCACTGGTTTGAACCTGGGGTTGGTGCTTAGCCGATGTGTTGTTATTGCTGGTGAGATCCCTGTCATATCTAGATGGGACCAAGTAAAGCAATTCATATTATCGATAAGAAATGGAATGAATTTTTTCCTGAGTTTGGGGGTTAACTCCGTTTCCAGGTATACCTTTTTCTTGGGCATGTGCTCGATCAGTATAACCTGCTCCAGTTCCTTGACTGCTGATTTGGTTGCGTCTGAATCCTCGGGAACAACGAAAGTTCGAGGAGTAAGGAAATCTTCTTCTTCTTCTTCAATTACCTATTCCTCCGACTCGATCGGGACTGGGATCAATGATTGCTATTTGGATGCGACTTATCTTTGGGTCCCCGATTTTACCAAGGTTGAAGATGTTGGTTTCAGAGTCACTTCCTCGACTGCAAACATCTCCTTTGCAGCATGTTGTTCTCCATAGACCATTTTCACACCATCCTTCATTGGGAATTTCATTATCTGGTGAATGGTCGAAGGTACTGCCCTCATGTTGTGAATCCATGGCCTCCCGAGGAGTGTGTTATACCTCATGGCGCCTTCGATGACATGGAATTTCGTGTCTTGAATGGTTCCAGCCACATTTACTGGAAGGACGATCTCTCCTTTTGTTGTTTCGTTTGCCATGTTGAAACCATTCAAGACTTGGGATGCTGGTACAATTTGATCTTGCAGGCCGAGCTGCTCTACGACCCTCGATTTGATCTAGCTGTTGTTGGATCTTGATTCCCTGTCCGTATCCCTCGGGGGATTAACTAACAATTTGTTAGGATGAACTGAGCCCGAGGGGGCTCCAAACTGGTCGTCCTCGACCCTAATTTTTTACTGGTAACGGTTATGTACATCGGACCATGTCATAGCCAGATACTCGATCAAGTTCTGCTTTAATTGTCGAGACGTTATCGAACTCCGTTCGTTCAAAACCTACATAAAGGCATTATTGCCAAGTCATCGGAGACCAGTGGTAATTTCATTCTTTCCATCTAAAACCTGGACACGAACTCCCTCAACATTTCGTCGTTCTTTTGTTTTATCTTGAGGACGTCTGATTTCCTCGTTGCCACCTTTATGGCCCTGGTGTGTGCGTTCAAGAAGGCATTTGCTAACATAGCAAACAAATCAATAGAGTTGAGGAGCAAGTTGTGGTACAAAATTATGGCTCTTTTCGACAATGTTTCTCCAAACGTTTTCAACAATACTGATTTGATCTCGTCGTCATTTAAGTCATTACCTTTGATTCCACAAATGTATGAAGTAATATGCTCGTTGGGGTTGGTTGTCCCGTTATATTTTGGTATATCGGGCATACAAAACTTCTTGAGAATGGGTATCGGAGCCGCACTCGGAGGGAACAGCTTTTGTATGAACTTTTTGGCATCCAAACCTTTCAAGACCGGAGGTGCCTCTGGTATTTGATCAACACGGGAGTTATAATTCTCCACCTTTTTGTCATTGTCTACAATCTTCTTTTCCTCGGACTCGATCCTCTTGGTGAGCTCTTTGAGTATTCTCATAATAGTGGGGTCAGTCCCCGAGTCATTTCCGTTCGACCCCTCTTGCACTGGTTCAGCACGCTGAGTGTTTTCTGGTTCAGCTATACTCGGAGTCTTATTCTGACTTTGAAGTTAAGCGATGACGATCTGTTGAGCCTACAGTATCTCGAATATCACTTGGAGGTTGATTCCCCGGTCTCCCATTCCTTGTGCTCCTTGGCCACCAAACCGAGCCTCCCTGCGTATACTCCCTCCGAGGTCTGTGGCTAAATCCGCGTTTAGAGCATTGTGTGAACTAACATCAACTGGTTCCATATTTGGCACTTCCTCAGGGTTTATTGGTGGTATACCGACCCATATACTGTTCTTTTCTCCAAGACTTTCGTTGTCATAAACAGGTGCATTTTTGTGAGCTAGACATGTTTCTGCATCAGAATTAAAAATTCTTGACAAGAAAAAGTGTAAAAATAACATGTGTTATGAGAATCAGTAATGAAATAATCACTATTATCTTTAGCCCCACGGTGGGCGCCAAACTATTTACCTCGAAAATACGAGTAACAATTAAATTTGATTTGTGATTTTAAAGATATGTGATTTAGTTCAATACCAATTAATAATCAAGAAATATGAAGTAGAAATGAAAGAAATAAGTGAATCAAACCAATGTTACTCAGCAGTGATAACCTCGAGCTTAGTGACCTCAAGGTGAACTAAGAGCAATAAAATAAGAACAGTAAATGTAAAGGACAATGCTAATGAATAGTGAGAGAGAAAAGCAGGATAGTATATTCTTTGCCAATGATTAGATGATGTTTATAAATGATTGAGGTCCCCTTTATATAGGAGGGGAGCCCTAAATAAGGTACATTTCTATTTACAGTAAAGAATCTTATTGGGACAACTATATAACCGCCTAGTACGGATTTGTACTAATTCGTGCAAATCTATTCCAGAATTTATGCCTTGATTTTGGAGACGTGGCGAGAATCCTATCCTTTTGTAACAAACTCACAACGGCTCTATCTCGGACTCGGTCATACTTGGCTCCGATATTCCTCGAACACTTAGGTCTTCGAGCCTCTTATTCTGCATTTGAGCTCGGGCTTGGTCTTTATCGAACTTCTACCCTCGGTACGACATCTCGAGCCTACTAAATCGGGGGCACCTGATTTCACCGCATACATATATGTATTAATACTATAAGTAAACAGATAAGCAGGAAAAAATAATACAATTTGACATAAATAATCTCCTAGGGCGTTGATTATATCTCTGATTTTTCTCTAAGAGGTCGGAAGTTTGAACCTCAACTAGCACATATTTTTTGCAAACATTTAAGAGAGCCTCTATGATTAAAACTTAAAACTCAATAAAATTAATGGACTAGGGCTGTTTTTCATATAGAATATGATATCAGAATTAGTTATTCTTATTTTTTTTTTATAAATTTCAACACCGCTTACAAATATGCCCTGATTCGAGTGAGATCCAATATAGATCCACTTCCTATATATCCCCTCGTCCGATTTGGATGGTCCGGGGACGAACGTGACTCCTTTCTTCTTCAAAATTTATACATTGTATATTAAAAGTTCATAGGATTACTTTCACCTGAATTTTTTCTACTCTTGTTTTAGTTGGTATAAAAGGATAGAAAAAAAGAAGAAGATGTACTTAGAAATACTGAAACGTGATTAGGGTCCAGCTATTAGGTTTAGGACTCACCCAAGATACAAATCTCTATTCATCTGTAAAATATGCAGAATATCCAATTGGATCGGATTTTATGCCTCACCTCACCTGAACTCAAAGATTTTCTGTCCCTATATATACTATTGGTGGCATTAAGTGGCATATGTTGGTTTATCTGGCCCATTTGTTTTACTACTAAAATATAAAACTGTAACTAGATCTCATCCCCGAGAAAAAGAAAAACGTATTATATATTTGAAAAAATAAAGAAATTTCACAGTAATAAATTGTATGCTGTGAGTTCATGTGAACTTAGTAATTCACTCAAGCTTTGTATATGTATTAAAAAATCTATTCAACATTTAGAAATATTTGACTGTGAATCAATTATTATAATATTGTATATATTAACTTGAGGTCTGTATAGAAAATCACAAACTTTAAATTTTGGATCCATCTAAGATAATGTTCAAGTGTGTAAGCTAAACTTCCAAAACATTAGATTGTTTCATTAATCAAGGACAAGAACATTGTCATGTAACTTCGACAGACTGCAGTTTTGCACACGATCATATATCAAAAATATTTATACTAACATGTTTCATGTGCCTAGTCTGTTATTTGACATCTCCTCTTAGTTAAATATCATCATCTTTCTATCTTCCTCACTTTCTTTATCTTTTTCCCAAAAATCTCTATGTAACCTTAGACTCGTTACGCTCTTCGACTGAACTCATTGGCTCCACGTCCACCGAAAGTCGATACCTTCATCACCGTCAGCATTCGTGATCTCCACCACGCACTACAAGAAAACAGTTACTTTGTGGAAGTTTTTTGGTCAAATTGTGACGGTTTTTGACTCCCACAAAAGAATTGTGGCGGTTTCTAGAGGTGCCACAGTTACCTTTGCCACGAGCATTATTGCGGTGGATTTTTAAAACCTCCATGACAACCGCCACAAAATGAATTTTTAATTTGTGGGGGGTTTGAAAGATAATTAATGTTAGTTTAAAACCCCCGCAATATGATTTTGATGTGCCAAAGAAAAAATATTGCGAGGGTTCATAAACCCCCTCCATATGATCATAGTGGTTCAAAAAAGATATTGTGGGGGTTTAAAAACCCCTAAAAATGATTTAAATATTTTTTTAAGAAAAAGTAATGAAGGGGTTTTGAAAGATAATTAGTGCTAGTTTAGAACCCCAGCAATATGATTTTGATGTGTCAAAAAAAAATACTGCGAGGGTTTATCAACCCCTCAATATGATCATAATGGTTCAAAAAAGATATTGTGGGGGGTTTATAATATGATTCAAATATTTTTTTTAAAAAATATTATGTGGGGTTTATAACCTCTACAATATAATATTACTGTTTTTAAAAAAAAATAGCGGCAGTTTATTTCCGCCACAATATTTTGTTGTTGAAAACTCTTTTCTATTTGAATATTTTTATTTGTAGGATTAAAGAAACAATTCTATCCAATAAGTTACAACATAAATCAAATTTCATAAAAAATAACCATAGTGACAAATATTATAAATTTAAATCCTCATGCAACTAAATAAATTTTTATCATGAGCAATGATATATGACATGATCACTAACCAGCTAGGATAGTAAAAATGTATCCATTAAAAGATTGAGCTTTACTAATTTCATTCGCAATTATAATGGAGTACTTTTTTCTAGCTAAGTCTCCACAAACTCTGCCAAAATAACACTGTCATGCAAGGGCTAAACTTTCTACGGGAAACTAATTCTTGGCAAGTGCATGGTAAGGATACAAAAAGAAATTGATAGGTTGTTGTAAAAACCTGAACTTGACTGAAAACAGTGAGTTCTCATTGTTCTTGTAATAATCTGCTAAGAAATTCACCTATCTTGTGACCATATTCTCTATGTTGCTCTGCATCCATGGGCTTCAAATGAGTAAAACAACTAGCTTAATAAACCTTGAGGGTTCCACGGTAAGAGTAGGGAATCTCCATGTTTGAATCTTCATCACTATCATGGCAAATCCTACACTTTCATCTTCCTTGATGTAGGCTCTAGAAAAGAAATCTGTCTCAAATTCAAAAGAAATTCAATATGTAATAATCAAGGAAAGAGTATTCTTACATTCCCCATAAAGTGTCTCAATCCAAAACAGAGCAACAACTCAAATTTAAAACTACTTCAACGACAAAAGTCAGAACATTTAAAAGCTCAACAGACGGTTTTTGTGGACTCCTCTGAATACATTTATCTTATCTGGCTTCCGAGCATTGAATTAATTGAAAACCTGCAGTTTTGAGTAATTAGCATTTAGCAGTGGATTCAGCGATTAAATCTCAGTAGACAGGCAAATATCTAAAGCTAATGTGGCTCATTGCAAACAACAGTATGAAATTTCAGTTTCAGACTTTTTGCCCCCATCGCCCGAACAAAACCAAAAATGAGGAAAAGGTTAGGAACACAGGGAAATTGAAGGAGCTCAAGAGAAAAAGCTGCCTCATATTTAATTTGAGAATCATTTCCAAAAACACAACCAAGATCCTAAAAGAGTGCAGAGATTACTACCGCCTCCATCCGAATTGGGTTGTCCACCCTTGATGGCACGATTAAGGGAAGATTTGAAACTATGAATTGTTTAATATTTGTTGAGAAAACACATGGATGCTTTGACTTTTTTATGGCCAATAAAGGAAAAATAACAAGGTGGAGAAGCGAGGCGGCTAAAAAATTTATGGTATTAAACGTATTAGACATTTAGACCTGCTGATTCAAGGAAAATGGACAACTTCCACAATCCAAAAATATAACTAAGACAAAATTCCTAGGGGAGAGGAAGTGCTTGAATTAGCACTAGGTACAAACAAGATATCTTTCTTATGTAAGAAAGGAAAAATATACTATGGGGAGTGCAAAAGCCAATCATAGCATGTTTCTTTATCAGCTATTCTTACCTGACACAGGACAAAAGCATTGAAAATCAAGGTATTCTTCACTTTAACAGCATGCTCCCTCGTCTCATGCTCCAAATGAAGAATTTGTTCACCTCGGAAATTGAGGATTAGGAGGACTGTAACTTGATACAGAGCCTGCAGATGTTCAAGCAGGAGATATCAACCTCGAAAACTAATGTAAAATGAATATTTCTCACTTTGGAACATCAGCCATCAAATTCTTTTTACCTGTATTAATAGGTTTCTCCACATTATATTGGTGACGAGAGGTCCCCTAAGATAGAATTAAACAAAAAAATCAATTGATACTGCGCACGAGGAACATTATAACTATGAGGACATAGGTTAGCAATACAGAAAGAAGCTGAAAATAAGTTGATACATTTGGGGAATCATTGACTAGAGCTACAACAGAACATATTCCACCACTAAATGTTATTAATACAAGTAGGATGCACATCAGTACCGAAGCATGAAAATGAATGGCAGAAGATATTGAGGCAATATGGAAGTCTCTATAATCTAGTAACATAAGCCGAAAGAGTCAGAAACGTATAGAATCCAGCTTACAGTATAATCACGTTAACATTAAGAATGTAGTGAGAATGTTCAAACCAACTGAAAGAATAATGTGCGGCTATGTTGCTCGACTCTCCAACTGAAAGAATAATGTGCGGCTATAATAGGGGTAGATGTTTTATAAAAGTATCTCACGGCTTCAAAACAAGTTCACTTCCTACACATTATGCAAAATGACATGAAAGAAAAAAAATCTAACAGAGCAATAATACTTCCTTATAAGAAATCAACTGCACAGCCACATGATGGATTAGTTATCTCTAAAAGCCAACCCCATCTGTCAAACTACAAATACACAGAAATGGTAGTGCAGCCAAGCTAATGTTACTTGACGAAACAAACAATATCTTTGCCATTAAAATGTTGAAACAAGCTTCTTTTTTTTTCAGAGATTGATCTACAAACTAACCTTCGACCAACATGAGCTCGACGCATTAGATGATCAGTTGGTGGTTCTGTGGCCAGTGCAAGCACACCCAAGGTGAACATAATAAGATTTACCCAAAGTAGCTGCACAGGTGAACGCCAAAACCTAAATGATTAACATCAGAACATAAAGGTCGAACACACAAAGTGTACATCCGCTAATCACACTGATCAATGATAAGAGAGCAGTGAAACTAAACCTGAATAGCATTCAATGGGACATCACCAGCAGAAACTGCAGCAACAACATTAATTATAAGAGCAGCAACGTTAACAGTTAGCTGAAACTGGATGAATTTCTGGATGTTAGCATATACGGATCTGCCCCATCGGACAACCTGTATTTGATGGGATAAAAAATCAATAAAAATAAGTATTGTCGTGCACCGGTCTGAAAAATATTGGAACTTCAATCACTACAACTAGAAAAGATACTAATGGGTTTGCAAAATATATCAGGTAAAATAGATCCGACTTCTGAGCTGCTGAAGGCAATTTAAACGTGACAAAACTTGCATTCTGAGATAGGAACTTGTTAGCAATAAAGAACTTTTCAGAAAGTAAGAGCCTATCCCAAGTATTTCAGTCACTCCAGAAGATTCAAAATTCCCAGCAGGAAAGTTCATTCCCCACCATTAAAATGTAATACTAAGCACCTTCTTTTAGGTTCCAAAATATATAAACACCATTGTTGGGATATCTTCAAGGCAATAAAATTAGAAAAAGATTGTTCATGTTCCGTAAGTCAAGCATGCAAGACAAGTTTGGCTTTACTAAGATAATAAGAGTGAGAACTTCCTGCTAAAGCTGCCAGCATGATAAACAGACCTTCACAACAGAAGCAAAATTGTCATCCAGGATGATGATATCTGAACTTTCTTTGGCAACTTCTGTTCCTTGAATACAAGAAAGTTTAATGAGCAAATAAAAGAGTAGAACGCAAGAGAAAGACTTCGTTTCTCAATGGTTCAGCAAGTAACCATATAGCAATAGAAGGAAAATCCTCTCGGGAAGAAGGGACAGTGAACAGGATAAAACAATTCAACAAGAGAATACATAACTAACATGCAAGCAAGTCAATACTCCAATACTTTGAAAGTAGCTCATACTAACACCACCTGCAACTGCAACTTATCGCGGAGAGATCCAAAGACAGTAGAAGTAGGTACCATCTTGATTCACATGGTTTCTACTCACAATCTCATATGCTTTCATTTAGAAGAAGAAATGTACAACAGTGATGCACTAGAATTGTCCAAAAGGTAAGTAATAGAGATAGGAAGATTTAAAATGGAAAATGTGGTAGGACTTTGTGTAGATTTAAATTGCCAAACTTTGGTACAGACTATTGATATTCTAAATTGGGCGTGCAGCACACTTCAGAATCTTGATTGAGTTGACATAAAATAACAGAAATATATAACATAAAAAAGATGTCATGATGTTTAGCTTCTCATAGTGAACCATCATAACAGATATAATATGTGTTCCAGGCTTAACCATATAGCATAAGGAAAAGAACCTAAAAGGCAAAAACATAGTTAGAAGATACAGTAGAGGTAATACTAAAAGATTATTTCACTTACCTACTGGTTCTGGAATACTTAAAACTTTTCGCAAGCCATCAATCCCAGCCATAGTTAAAGAAGCAAGACCCAGGTACGGGTTTGCACATGCATCAAATGCTTTAATTTCAAACTGGCTTACAAGATCATCTGCAACTCCAGGAGGGCTAGCAGTTCTCAATTGTGCCTCTGTATTTTCTTTCCTACAACAGAGGTAAGCTGCATTTCGTGTCTTAGGTAGCATTCGCTCATAAATAAGAGCATAGCAACACGAATCAAATATGATTATCACTTTTAAATATGCCTTGAAACCAAATATGAATACCATTTTTAAACATACTTATACATCAAATAAATAAAATAAACACTACTTAGTTATGCAATACTATTACCTTCGGATAAAGCAACATATTAAACAAATTTTCTATTCAAACATGTATGTATCTGCTGCTAGTTAGTAGCAACATTTGTCTCTATTACATCATCAATTATATNTTGTCTAAATTCGCTATATGAAATAACTACATTAATGTTAAAGAACAAGACTAGCCGGATCAAACATTAAAATGATAAAGAATATAAAGATTATATGAGTTACTCACTCCATAAATGGCATGACTATTGCACAATTCAGAAGCACATAATGATGAGCTTGTAGTTTCTGCATATCAGTTAAAGGGAATGTAATCGAAGCTGATGCAGGTTTACCAAATTGAGGAAGTATAGAGGATGTTCCAGAAGGCTCAGTGACATTTGGTTCATCACGAACACGCCTAGGTCTATT